GCATAAATGCTGTAACATTACTGTAATCTGCCAGTTTCCCATTTAACAGGTAGTAATTGAGGTGTGAAGCACCACAATCACCTTCCTCTAAATGGACAGCCGTACATTTAGAGAGTCAAGGCAGAACTTACAGATCTGCATAGCAAGGCACAGCCCCAAATCACCACTGAGTTAATGTTAGTGGTGACATGTTAATGAAATCACTCCTCATTTCCTTCCACAGGAGGACTCTAAAAAGGTACTAAGATGTCCTAAGCCTAGGCAATTTTAGTACGAGGAATAAAGTTAAAGCTTCAAGGCTTAGTAGCATGAAGTGATTCCATCAGCCACGACAGCTGGCTGCTGCTCCTGTTAGGAGCTAAGCCAGTCTCAGGGACATGGATGACACCATAAGTAACTTACCCATAGGGCTCAGAAAAGCTGCAACACTCTCCCCAACATTCTTTAAGAAGGTGACGTTGGGGTCCTGGGGCGGGCTGTTAGTAGAAGCTTCTAGAAGAACAATTTGTATTAGTACAAATAGCAGCCCAAAGGGAAAGAGCACCTACAGAGCATATCCCCAGAAGTATTCAGTGATTGTTTTCTGAGAAACGTCACTGCACAAAAGCAGTAAGTAGAGAGACCAAATTCTGAGCCACCTCTGCAACAATAAACCAGTGGCATTAGCATTGTTAAGGCTCATTAGCCATGCTGAAAGGCAGATCTAGAGCACAGTAGTGACATGCTTGACCTAACAGCTCTGCTTGGTTTCATTCTAAGTAGTCTCTCTACAGCCTCATCTATTGCCTGGGCCCTAAATACACCTTAAGAGAAACTGTACTCTGTCCCAAAATGTCCTAGTTATTTTAAGCAAATTAGATTAGTTCCCATGCCTGTTTTTCCACCCAGATTCCCACCTACTCCAGCTCCTCCACCACCACCCTGTTTAGCAGAGCATCTCCTCTTACCTTCCGCAGCAGGCTGACTGGAGGCAGCAGCACTGGCCTGGGCTCGTTCCGAGTTTTGGCATGGACCTGCAGGGCCAGGATAGCCCCAGCAGTGCATCCACGGGAAGGGTGGCACACCATGACGCATCTTACGGAGCCAGCGTCCACGGGGAAGCCACTGTGAAGGGTAACATTCATGTGACCATGTTCACACAGATTCCAAGTAAACTAAGCTTAGTGCTTATATTTGGGGAACATCTCATGCATTAGTCCCACTCCATAGATTTTACTCACCTCGAACGGATTTAGCAGTGGACTTTGAAACATCACCATGTTGTGCTCCTTGTGGATGCCTTTACCCTCACAGGTGCTGCACAGGTCATAGTCTGGACAGACGGTGCACTTGAATCTAGCACCCACCACCGGCCCTTCGCAGCCATCACAGATGACATTGGGGTGCACCATATCACGGGGAGGCTCCTGGCTGCACTGCGAGCGATGCTCCCGCCTGCACTCCTTTTTCTCTATTAAGGAAAGGGAACTTTGCATCAAGAACGAGGTTACTATTTAAAGGTTGGAAATCAGGCAGAGGAGAAGGAAACACAAACAGCCCTTGTCACAGCAGTATTGACTTACTAGGTCAGTTTATTTTTACGCTGGCTGCCAAACACAAGCCAGGGGCATGTATGAGAACTTAAACCAAGCATGAAGGGGGTTCACAGACATACCTGCTCCTCAAATTGAGCATACCTCATCCCTAGCAGTATCTTTCCATGTTTATTTTAGATTAGCACAGCACCACCCCATTTGGCGGCTCGTCCTACCTCCCTAAGCTCTGCAAGGACAGAATGTTTCTCGAGAGGAAGTTCAGAAGGGGTGCCAGGAGGCAGAGCAGATGAGCGCAGAGACGAGAGTGACAGCCCGTGTGAGTCAGTAGGTGGGCTGCTGGTAAAGCTCTGCAGGTGTCTAAGCAAACAGAAGGAACTAGGGCACAACAGCACACTGGCAATTAAGCTGGTATTTGGGCTTCCCAACGTGTCCTTGTGACCACTGAGACCACCAGTGGTGGGAAGGGCTTCCAGGGAGGTGGCTGTCACTGTGCCAGCAGTGACAAAGCTCGGAGGACACCTGGGGTCTGCCCGCCTCCCCTCAGCAGGGTGGGCTCCCCTCCAGCCCCCTCCCCACCCCTCAATTCACCTCCCCGGGAATCTGCAGCGTACATCAGGGCCCTGCTTTGCCCCCCCTCGAGCCATTACCTTTGATATAAACACGAAAGACTCCGTCCCGCACGAAGGGCATGGCCAGCTCCAGCTCCTCGTCACTGGAGAACGCGATCAGGTCCCCGTCCTCATCTGCAGGAGAGGCACAGGACAGGGATCAGACCCCCGACCACGATGGGATCACCCCCCCCACAACCCCCATGTAGATGACCCCTCACCCCTATAGTGCAGCCGAAAAGCCGGCGGCGACCCGGCCCGCAGCAACCCTTGGAAGAGCTCAGCCACCCGCTCGCAGACAGCCTGGTAGCGGAGGGGGGGCTGCAGGGAGAAGCGGCGGATCTCGCGGGCCGCCTCCTCCTTGCCCAGCAGGTAGGCTTTCACCGTCAGCGCCGCCATGGCTGTGGCGCAGCAGGAATTGCCGCTGGGACGGGGCCGGGCTGGGCTCAACGGGGCGGCTCGGCACGGAGCGGCGCGGGGCGGAGCAGGAGCCGGGCAGCGCGCCCCCGCCTTATAGCGCCAGCGCAGAGCCACGCCCCCTGCCCATAAGCTCCGCCCCCTCTGTGTGGCCACGCCTACTTGCCCATATATGTAGCTTAATTTGTCACAGACCACGCCCACTTGTCCATATATAGCGTCTGGTAGGCCTCAGGCCACGCCCCCATGTTGGGTAAGGCTGGCGCCATTATCAGCCCCCATCAGTGCTGGTTTCCCTCGCCCCCCCCCCCCCCCCAGGGCCCTTGGAGCCCGGTTCTTGTTGGTCCCCTTGGCCTCAGCGAGGGTCAGGGTGGGAATTCAGAGCCATTTCTCCTCAGAAAGAGCAGCCGGGTGTTGGGGTGGGTCGTCCAGAGAGGCGGTGGGGTCACCGTCCCTGGGGGTGTGCAAGGGGAGGCTGGATGTGGTGCCTGGGGATGTGGTTAGTGGGTGACACTGGGGGTACTGGGGTCACAGAGTCCTAGAACCACTAAGGTTGGAAGAGACCTTCACGGTCAGCTGGCCCAACCATCACCCTACCACCAATGGCACCCACTAAACCGTGTTCCTAAGGATGGTTGGATGAGATGATCTTGGAGGTCTCTTCCAACCCTAATGATTCAGGGGTTCTATAACAAAAACCTAGGGAACACATACCATGACTTTGCATCCTCCACAACCAAGAGAGGGAAAGTTTTCACCTCCATGGCGGGGAGGTAGCGTGTATCTGGATGTGCAGTGCATATATTAAAGCACTGGGCCACACGGGTACTTTTTTCACAACCCTTTTCTGGAAAGTTGTATTTATAGTACAAAGGGTTGCCCTTTCTAACTTTAAATATTTTCTAGGAATGTTGATTTCTGTGCATGACGTGGCCACTGCTTCACCATGAGGTGATGAGTTAAAGTTTAAACACAGAGGCTTCATGTTTAGACATGAATTGATGCTGCTCTAGGAAGGTTTCACAGCACAAAACACTGAGAGCTTTGGGTGCGCACCTTCCCTTTCATCTCTTTGCTGTGTGTATCCTTATTTCTGGAAATGTTGGTGAAGTTTGCTGGCTTAAAATCATTGTGGGTTGTTTTTTTTCCATAAAATCGGAAGAGGGTGAGGTGGTAGCAGGGCATGCAGTACAGTACTCTACACCAAATCTGCCTTGCCAAGCATCACCTCCAGCACAGCCATCTCGTGCCCTATAGCTGAGGACCCCAAAGGCCACTTTTGGTCTCATTTAGAGCCAGAGACCTGTTTTTTGGGAATCAGCTCTGTTCTTTTGGGAACCAGCTCTGTCACAGTCATTCCTAAGGCACTGAGTTGCTGTTGTGCTGGCAGGGCTGATTCCTCCCCTCTCCATCACCCTGCCCGGGTGTTTGAGGCACCATGGGCTGTCCCCAGGCTGCTGGGTCTTTTCACCCTGGTTTTGCCTCCAGATTAATAGATGCGTTTATAATTACCAGTCGATGCACCACGTTAACACCAGAAATCCTACTTTTCCTCCATGTGAACTTTAATCCAGCTGGCAAATATGGAAGGGGCCAAAAGCCAGGGAGAATTTCCCTTCTCCTGGTGGCTTCTGCTGAGTCACGCTCGGCTTTCTGGCCGTGACATCATGCACTTTTTTCAAAACATAAAGAAAACAAGGCTTTCACCAGCCTGTGATTAACTTAGCTCACCGATCACGGGACAGGGTGACTCAGCGTGTCCCCTCCTCCTCCTCCGGGTCGGGGATTTCCTCCCAGCATTTCCTATTGCCCCAGCCCTTGGATGTGCCCTCGGGGGGTTCTCAGCCCCCAGAGGGAGATGCAGGGAGCTGGGCTCTATTCTTATGGTGCTCACCAACACATCCTTCTGCCTCCGCAGCTGGACAGCTGGATAGATGTCTCCCCACCAAACCCTGCCCTCACACAGCTCTGCAGCCTGAGGTTTGGCTGGAGCTCGAATTAACTTGGGGCATTTTTCCCTCTGTTTGCTGGAGGACCCAGGTGTGGGACTCCCAGCGTGAAGAACTGGCCCCGCGGATGTTTTTTTACAGTTCTTTAGGAATTCCATAGCGTTCGATCACAGCAACCCCTGCCGAAAAAGCGGTTTGGCAACCCTAGTTTCTGAGCAGCTACACAGATGGATGTAGCAGAGGGACAGCAAAGGGGATGGGGGAAAAAAAGCTGTTCGAGTTGAAAATATCAAAGTTACAGAGGAAGGGCTCAAAAAGGAGCAGTTAGCATCCCTGCAGTTCTCTGCTTTCTCTCTCCACCCACTTTCTGCTGGGAAGTGTTTAAAAATATTTGGTGAGATTCTTGCTCTGAGGGCATGCTCACCAGCAGTGCTCCTTATGGCCAAGCTTTTCGTGCTGACAGCAAACTCCCGGTGGGACTGAGGGGGGAGAGGAGGGGGCCTGCTTTTTTCCACGCTTTCAGACCACAACAGATTTCTGCTGGTGATTTCTCAGCGGGAATTATTCTCTAACTCACGGCTTCAGCTTGAGGCCCCAGCAGTGCCCCATCACTACCCAAGGGGGCTTGGTGGGGCTGGGGGTGCCCCCCACGGACCCCTGGCCCCGCAGCGAGCAGGCGCCGGCTCTTTCTGGAGGTTTCTGGAGAGGCACGGGATCCTCTGGATGTGCGGGGTCAGACAGTGGTGACTCAGTCCTGTCCCGTGACAGCTTCCTTTCTCCTCCAGCCCAGCGGAAACGCTGCTCGGCTGCTTCTGTGCTGCTTCCAGACGATGCCAGAGGCCCCGGCGCTGCTGCAGGGTGCTCGGGGCACCCAGCCCTGGAACAGCTCCTGCCTGAGCCAAGCTGGGCTGCGAGGGTTGGTCACACTCACTGTGTGTTCAGCCATCTCCTGCTGCTGTGAGTTGAAGAAATATATACATATTTGTATGCATCTATACACATAAACATGCATAATACATTAATACAGAAATCTAGCTCTTTTTAATATAGAAATATCGCTTTTCTTAGGTGCAAGGGTCATAATCAGAAACATTTCTCTGGAAAACGCGATGCAGAAGTCCTCCTTTCTCTACAGTGTGGGCGGAAGGGAAAGCGACGCTGGGTTTTTGCTGTCTCATTTTCGAGGCTAGGTTTTCCTGAAGGTGAGCTTTGAAACATCAGGGTGTTTACCCAGGGTATCTCTTTCAACTCCATTTGTCATTGGTGTAATGTGAAACTTTTTTTCTTTTTTTTTTAAGGGCAGAAGACGCTGGCACTGGGAGGAGCAGATAGGAAAAATGAGCAGATAGCAGGCACAAAGTAGAAGCATGCAACCTGTGTTGTGCAACTACGTCAGGATTTCGTGTTTACACAGGTGAGATGGCACTTCTTGCAACCTGGAGGGAGCGTTACTTCCAGAACATGATTTGTGGCTTCTGCCCCGAATTAAAGCATTAATGAGTAAAACAAGACCTCATGATGTTTGAACACAGTGACCTCTACGCACACAGGAAATGAAGTGGCTGTGTTTTCGGGTGAAATAGCACTCGTGCTTTGTGCAGAGCAGCCTAGGAGGAACAGGGCCCAACCTGCTTGCAGCTGGGCCGGAGTCAAGCTCCGGAGCCAAGCTCTTCAGAGAGCTAGATACAATCAGCTATAAATCTGGGTTAGATTTTCTAACTAGACCTAATACGTGTTTTCTCTTTTTAATTTTTGTAAAGGCCTCGGGACCTGTGGATGGCTTGCAGCAGACAGCCCTAGCTTCTGCAGTGCGCTCAGTGCTGCCAACATCAACTGGTCAAAGATCATGAGATCACCTGAAAAAACAGGTTCTCTCTGTCTATTTGCTTTTTGGGGTTTACAGTCTTTGCAGTTCGCAATTTAAACTTTGCTCTGCAAAAGCACCCAGAAGGTTCAAAACTTACCCATTTTTTTAACAGAATAAAAGCAAAACCGACATGGGGGAGGGCCTTTAAAAGTCAACGTGAACTTTGCCGCACTGATACAACCAGGCTGACAGTTTTGCTCAGTCCCTTGTTTCTTCCAAGAGAGCCCAAGGTTTTTGTCATACAATGGTGGCATAAAGCTCAGTCATTTCTTCAGACTTTTATGAAGACAAAGTATAGTAGCAGAAATTAGATTAAGCTTTATTCTTGGGGAGAAGCCTAATTAATTTCCTTGCGGAAATTATTAACGTTATTCTTTCCTGCTGCATATGCACTACCTATCCCATGCAGTAGGAGCATTTTGCACAGATGAAAAGAGGCACTCAGCGTCATAACGTGCCACGGCACTTGACTAAACTCAGATGGCTGTAGGATTTCATGTGCCTTTCCCACGAGAGCTATTATGCACCTGCTGCCCCTGCAGTTCCCCCGTTAATTGCCGCAAACCCCTCGCGGGCTGTGGGGTTTTGCACATGGCTTTAGGGTGAGCAAGCAGAGCGGCTGGGGGTCGCTTTTTCTAGCGCTGAAAATGCAGGTGCTGCTGCTCTCCCTGGAGCTGAGCAAAACCCCACATCCTTGGGTGCCCCAGCCCCGCTCCATCAATGCTGGGTGCTCCCGGAGCGCTCCCCCTGCCGGCTCCTCCTGCCAGAGGCTCGCTGCCATTTCAAGGTTTGAAAATGGGATTTATTGGACAAATTGGACAAGCGGCTAAGGATGCGGGGCCTTGCCCCATGTGCACAGGTTGCTGCCACCACAGCGATACCCTGGCACGGGGACAGACCCCGAGCATCACCCGTGCTGCTGCGCTTGGCACGTGCAGTCCTTGCTTTGCATCGCTGTCTGATCACTCCAAACACTTCAAGCAGCAGACTTTGATCGCTGGAAGGCAGTCCCACGGCACCTGCACGATTTTTAATGGCTGAGAGAGCTGCGGGGAGTGAAGCAGGACGGCTGCAGCCACGCACCTGCCTGCCTGTGACCACGGACAGCAGAGCAGGGGCAGGTTTGGGTGGCGGAGGGGTGCACGCTCAGCACTTCGAGCCCAGCCTCACCGTACAGCTCTCGCTGCCCACAATGAAATAAAGCAGCACCCAAAGCACCCAAAGCACCGTTTACATCCGATTCCCCCTGCCCTTCACCCCGACCAGCAGCTTAAGGCCATAATTACCAAAACCCAAGCCTTTTGGAAGACAGATGCCAGCCTACGAGGCCACAGCATCCAGCCAACACTCCCCTGGCATCGGCTGGCTCTCAGGCTGGAGGCGGGGGGCTCCTGTGGGACCCCAACCCGGGACCCCCAGCCTGAGACCCCCATCCTGGGATTGGGCCCGGTGCCCGCACCCCCCCCCCTGCCTCCTGCATCCCGCATCCTGCCCAAGGGGGGCCAAGCGCCCACCCGCGACACCCCCACGGGGGGGGTCTCCCACCCCCCTCACCCTCTCCCACCCCCCCAACCCACCCTCGACACCCCCACGGGGGTCTCTCACCCACCCTAGTACACCCCCACGGGGGTCTCTCCCCCCCCTATACCCACCCCCCACTCCTCCCTGCCCTCCCAGCTCCCCCCCAGCCCCCTCCCCTCCCTGCTCTCCCCCTCCCCTCTTTCCCCGCACGGGGGCGCTCCCCCCCCGCTCCCCCTCCTCCGGGACCCCTCCCCCTTTAACCCCACCCCTTTTAGCCCCTCCCCCTTTTAACCACGCCCCGTTAAGCCCCTCCCCTATTCTCCCGGCCCCCCCCCCCCCCCCGGCCCCGGCCCGGCGCGGCGGCTGGGTGCGGGCTGCGCGCCCCCGCTCCGCGCTTCGCCGGGGCCGCGCCGCCGCCGCCGCCGCCGCTGCCGGGCCATGCGGCCCCCCCCGGCGGGCAGGAGGCGATGAGGCTCCGCGGCGGCACGGCGCTCACCCTGCTGCTCGGCTGCCTCTGCGCCCTGCTCTCGCTCTCCTGGTACGGAGCCTTCGGGGGACACAAAGGTAAATTTTGGGGGGGGGGGGGAGGTCGAAAGGAGGGGGGGGGGGCTCCCGGTAGCGCCCCGGTTGCTGGGGGGGAGGTGGGATGCGGAGCTGCGCGGGGTGTGGATGGAGCTCTGGGGGGTGGTTTTGGGGGTCCTGCATTGGGGAGATGCTGGGGGGTCCCCCCCCGTGGGGTAGGGTGCGGTGGGATCCCGACCCAATGGGGTCCTGTGCGCCCTGGTGCTGCGCATCCCCTGCAGGGTGCTGCAGCCTTGGGGGGGGGAAATGGGGGTCCGGGGGTGTCGGTGGTGCTGTGCTGTAACCCAAGGGTGCTTTGGGTTTGGCTGCTGCCATGCACCTCGTCCCCGTGCCCGTGGTGAGAACCTCTGTGGGCAATGGGACCCCCTGGGGCCACATCCCCGTGGAGAGGTGGGACCCCAGCGCTTCGGCACCCTTGGGTGCTGGGGGGTCCTGGGGAGCCAGAGCTGAGGGTGGAGCCCAAAAACACCACTGCTGCTGCCGGGGGCTTCAGGAGGCAGAGCCCTTCCTGCACCCCATGCAGCTCTTGGGGCTTGGTGCTGCAGCTGGGGAACTTGCTTGGGACAGGTCGGGCTCAGCCCTACAGCACGAGGGCTGTCGGCTTCGTCCCTTACAAACCACTGCTGGTTTCACCCCGCGTGGGCAAAGCAGGGGTGCAGAGCCCCGTCCTGCCGTGGCACAGGTACTGAGGAGTTTGTCTCCGTCAGCTTTTCCTGACAGCATCTCAGTCACTTTTTCCCACCCCGCCGCTCGCAAAAGCAACGCACGGGATTTACCCTGGCCTGCAGGAAAATTCTGGTGGTTGCTTCGGAATCGTGCCTGCCTCGCACGGCGGTGCAGGGACCTCTCGCTCCCGTGCTGGCTGCTCGCCTCTTCCCCGTCCTGCAGCCGTGGGGTCGGCAGCAGGGTGCTCCGGCTGCCCAGCCCTCTGCAGTGCTCCCAGATGTGACCCCATTGCTCCGAGGTGTGGGGCAGGCAGGGGGAGGTCACCCCGTTAGAGATGCTGTTGCTTCGTGTGCCAAAATAACCCAGTCCAGGCATCTCCGTCCTTCCTGGTAGGACCTCGCTAGCGTACGCGTTTCCCTCCGGCACCTGGAGGTTGCTGCTCGCTGCAGCAGGTTACAAACGCCATGGGTCAGGCGGTGTCAGCGCAGCAGGTTTCCGGGCATTGTGGTCACTTGTGCGCGTATCAGGCTGTCACGAGCTGGAGAAGACCTTGGGAGGTCATTCGGTCCATCTCCTGCCCCTGCGCGGGATCGGCGATGTCTAAGCCCTTCCTGACAGATGTTTATCCTGTTCCCTCATAAAACCCTCCCTGACAGGGATGCCTGAGCTCCCCAGACGATCCGTCTGACATTTAACAGCCCTACCGCTGGATTTTCCTTATGAGCAGAGCAGAGACGCCTTTTCCTTCAGTTTGGTTCCCTGCTTGCTCCTTGCCTGTTTTTCGGGCACGTGCAGGGAAGTTCCTTCCCTCTTTAGGGAGCGTGTTGGGTATTTGGGTGTTGCTGCTGCGTCTCCCCTTCGTCCCTGCCAATATCGATCGTGCTATGCCGGTTCCTTTGATCATTCCTTTTAGGTCGGTGTGCTTGATCTGGGGTTGTTCTCGTTGCTCTCCTAAGGGCTGTCATCTTCCCAAAGAGTGGCACTAGCTGTGGTACAGGACCGAACCGCTGCCCTGCCTGTGCTCAGAAGCACGAGGGATTACTTGAGATCCTTATCTACTGCAAAGTGTTTGCTTTTTACTTTTTGCCACAGATGACTCACGTTTATTTATTTTTTTTAATCCCATCTGCCCCCCAGCCATTCTTCTCCAGAACTTTTCCTGCTTTTCATCCCTCATCGTGTGTTTGGCCAGTTAATTATTCTTACCAAATCGCATTACCTCACGCTTGTCCTTGCTGAACAGCGCCCTTATTTTTTTATTTTTTTTTTCAGCTTCTGAAGTGTCGGGATGGTTTTGAATTCTGATCTTGTCCTCCCGCGGGCTGGCAGTCCCTCTCAGCTTGCTGTCACCTCCCGGTGCCATCGGCAATTCGTTTGTGCCGAAATCCAAGTCCTGAATGAAAGCACCAGGCAGTGTCCCATCTGGGGTGGGTTCCCTGTGGCGTACTTTGTGCTCCCTGTCCATTCTTTAAATGCAGTCACCAGTTCACTGTCGGGTTTCCCAGCAGTGAGACACCCCCGTGAGGATGCCCAGACCCCTCCTGCATCCCTAGCTTTGTCACTGGGATGTCGTGCCTGGAAACAAAGAAATGCAGAACATTTGATGTGATTTAGTTTTGATAAAGAGGTTAGCTCTTGCTCGAGTCCTCATTATTGTCTAAGTACTTCAATTGAAGTTAAGCTGATTGTTTTATAATATCCTGGATCCTTCTCATCCCCGTCCCCTTCTTCTTCACGACAGGCCTTGTGTTTCCCAGCCTTCTGCAGCGTCAGCTGGGGATGGCTCCCGGTGCCCCCGAGCTGTGGGATGCTCGCGTTTGGGGTGAGGCAGGGAAGGTGCCCGCGCTGCCTCAGGTGGGGAATGAAAATGATTTTAAGGCTCAAGGAAAAGCATCGCAGAGCCTGCTTGTCTCTGCTACCCTGCTCTTGGGAGGACAAAACAATTAAGTGAAAGAAAATAAAACAGGTCAGACCAGCTCCAGAGCTGCCCTTCTGTACCCAATTAGGGTTTGTTTCCCCGCTAATAGTGCTCTGCTGCGACGTGGTTGTTAGCAAAGTTTTGACCCTGTGGTCTGCAAAAGCAGACGCTGCCTCTTCTCAGCAGGCTCGAGACGTGGTGCTGGAGCAGGGCTGAGGAGGATCAAGCCGTGGTGGGGCTGGGCACCAGGGGGGACACATGCTGAGCCCCCGCAGAGGTGCATGAGGTCCCACCAGGAGCTGCGACCCTGCATCAACGTTCTTGTCACACCTTGGGGGACGGCTCCATCGGCCGTATCTCCTGCCCCAGCGTGTGGGCTTCCCATTTCTGCGCTTTCACTTCTGTTCCCTGCTCCTGTATGCACCTGGCTGCAGGGCTTTGTGGTTTCCCTTGGAGGCCTGGGGGCAGCGGCTGCGGTCCCCGTGCACACCACAGCCCTGCTCTGCGCTGGGGGCTTTTCCTTGCCACCCGGAGCCGCTCTGAAGCTTTCACCAGCAGTTGCAGCGTGCGCTCGTGGTGGCCGAGGAGGTGCAGGTGGGGGCTCGGTGCAGGAAACTTGATGTTAAAATGCATAACAAATAAAAAAAGATAGATATGAGTGTTTCTGAGAGCCCCTGCTTGGTTGGTGCTCGTCAAAAGTTGTGTGCAGTGCATGGCTGCAGAGCAGCAGCGTTTGCAGAATTATCCTGCCCGTGGTTTGACCAAATTTCGTCCTGCGAGCGAATGGCCCCGCGCAGTCTGTTGATACGCATTTATCAAATTAAATCTTTCATTGCCTGCAGTCAGCTGTATTTTTGCTTACATTGCTTGGCAGTTTTTGTTGGGTTTTTTAACTGGGCTCTCGATCTGTGCTGCACGTGCACTCGTTCGCGTCCCTTTGCTGCTCCGACACGAAGCGCGGTCGTCGTGTGATGGAGCTTAAATCCCTGCTGGTGGAAGGGGCCGTTCTCCAGACTGGGGTAGTGGGGTGTGGGGGATTTGGATATGGCCCCAGCTGTGCCATATCCCTCCCTGGGGACATCAATCAGCTGCATTCACGGCACCCCCTTGTCACAGGGATCTTGAGGAGAGAGCTTCCTGCAACAGAGGCTGCAGCAGGATGTAGGAGAGGAGTGGGTTAATACCTCCCCCCCCCCATTATATCAAGTGTTTCTCGTGGCTTACTTCTCTTACAGAACAAAACCATTTCTAATTTGTGATTCCGTTTGATTCATCTGAAAGAAATCATTGATTTGTGCTTATATCCTGGATGCTCATTGATTATTCACTTAGCGTTTAAGGTAAAGCACATCTATAGCTTGCTAGTTTAAGTGAAGCTGCCAGTCATCTCCGGAAAGCTTTGAAGCCTGCTAAATTATGAAGAAATTGCTTTAGTGATAAATTGGGCAAAGCTGCTTCGCTTGATAAACTCCGGTTATTCGCTGCGGGAAGCACAGCTGTGGGTGTCGGGTCCCCCTGAGGACCAGAGCATTGGGAGCCCTTTGGGTTGGTGCCGTGCCGAGGTTCGGCCAAATGTCTGTCCCATCCCATCCTGTCCCACTATGTGTGGCAGAGGATGGAGAAGAGCAGCTCCTGCTGGGGGAAAAAGTGGAGCCAGAGTCACGGCTGAAGCCTCTTTGGGGCTGAACTGCAGAAAACCTCTGCTCGGGCTCGTTGTAAGGGCGTGAACTCGCTTCTGCTGCAGTCAGCCAAACGCTCACCCGCTGCTGGCACCACTGAACGCCTGCCGAGATTTGCATCTGAGTTAGAAATGAGTTAACAGAAAATGCCC